GAGGGTCTTGAAACGTGACTCTGAGTTAAACCTCAAAAAGGCTGACAAAGAAACAACAACCGTATTCATGAACAAGCGCGACAAAATTTTGCCGTTCCTTACCGAAATGACAGCCATTCTTTCAATCTTCCTTTCGTGATGCCAGGACAATTACCACTAAGAATTTTAACCTTTTCCTCGGAAGAAAAAAACGCAATTTCCAGAGTTATATGGTCAGACATGGAGTGTTTCTGGTGTTTCTCGAGAAAAGTTGACCTGATAGCCTCGTCCTGAAACTGTAACTCCGTGGACCCTTTGGATTGCAGACACAAATGCGATAAGGGCTATTGGTGAAGGATGTAGTAACATTGCGGTGCGCATGAAGAATATTTACACGGAATACAGGTTACATGCCGTCAAAATTGTTGCAAGTGAACAAAATATTAATATAAGTTACGAGAATAGCAGCCAAAACCAGAAAGGGTAAAAAGGCAAAAAGAGGAAGCGTTTTCTACCAAGTTTGAGACGAACAAACAGTTCGCTACATGAAAACGAAGCCCAACTGGAACAAACTCCTCCCGATAAGGGAGCGAAATTAGAAAAACGATCATCAAAACAGAAGTTACCTGTAGGACACGGAGAAAGGATGATTGGAACACGTATGGAAGTAGAGTACGAAGAGAATGTTGAAGGAGTTCTTAAGTATCTTGGTTGGATAAAGGGAACAGTTATGGATTACGATACAGTGAACGGGTATCTCGTTCAATTTCCGGATGATATGGACTGGATAAAATCTCTAAACAGCAAAGACGTGAGCATAATCAAGTAGGCATTCGTGCAAAAGAACTGAAAATTGAATCAAATTAAGAAAAATCAATAGAAGGATTCAGCAAACCTTGTCGCAACTCAGTAGGGCTTATCACGGCTTTAGATGCCAACGTTAAAATACTATAGGTAGAAAATTGAATTCACTAAACTTGAAGGATTTAGTTTGGCTACAAGACGCTAAATTAATAATTCAGTTCGCGGGTTACAAACCACTCTGCAGCATAAGACAGATTGCACAATCGTAACCTCACAAAGAAATCATCAAGTGACATGAATTTGGTGGCAAGGTTGCCAAATCCGTCTATTACAGAATGTGATAAATGATATGTTAATTGTTCTAGTTGAACTCAATATATTCAGACAAATCGTTCTGATGAACACTAACACAATGGACCTGTAACGGCTGCCACGCTTTTGCCTGCTGTTAAGAAGACGTTAACAAACTTGTGCGCGCGCGACTCGCGTGCGCGTGCTTTGAGGTTACGAAGTAATCTCGTAAGCAAATCACGCGGACCCTTTTTTAATGTTGACGTGTGCGATTTTTAGAGAAGAGTAGTTGAAGTTTTTTTTAGTTTATCGTTTGGTTGTTGTCGTTTGCCGTGAGACTACAGTTTTCTGTGTTAGAGTAAGTATCTGTTTGGATTTCCCGTTTCGCTTCCGAATACCTAACTTCTATTGAAGTTCGTTTTGGTTCAATTCTTACAAGCGGGACTGTTATGTAAGTGCTAATGTTCCTTTCCCTGAGGTTATAGATAGTTCTTTTGTGAGTTTGTTTGAGTTTTTAGCTAGCTTTGCATCTTGCCTTTATTTCGGAATGTTTGGATTGTTGGTTTGTCTATTCGCATTTAGCTTAGCTTCTGCCTTATAAATTCATATTTCAGTTTACGATAAGTACTTGGATACCACGACTACGTTAAATAAAACGATTCAAGGCTTGTCCGTAAAATATATCCTCTCTTCATAGTGTCTTCATTTGCGAAACTCATAGCTGTCGTCGAAATTTTGCTTCGCTTGTGTCGGCCGCGACAGGACCTGAGATCGTAAGGTTTAAAAAACAACCAAGGACATTGATAAAATTAATTAACGTTCGATTTTGTAACATCTCAGAAAACTAGGAGTAAAGAACAAAGGATATACCTTGTAATGAAGTACCAGAAAAGTATTTTACATTTTACTGTATTTCACTGTAGTGTTCTAGCTTTACTGAAAGACTAGTTATGGTTCGGCTTGCTTAATAAAGCTGTTAACAGCTGTTTTGTTGGTCTTTGTATTCGATTAGAATTAGAAGCATCAAGTTCAACATCTCCGTTTGAGAAAACACAGTAACCACGGGATTCACTTGATTTCTTTTCGTCAGGGATGTGCGGTGTCTCCTGGTCAGTGTGGGTTCGAGTCCTGGCCGGGAACATTGTGTTATGTTCTTGGGCAAGACACTTCATTCTCACGGTGCCTCTCGCCACCCAGGTCATAGTAACTACTAACTTTACTATGAGGTGACTTTTTTCAATAGGTCGTCTTATCATGGAGTCAACGATCGTATGTCTTACACCCCTGTCCGCAAAAAATTCTGATAAATTTCCAATCACTTACCAATCAAAATTTATCTTCAAGATATTGGAAAGTAGAATGTAGGCACGAATTATCGGTAGGGATGAAAGAAAAGTTTTAAAGGATGATTTATTTGATCAGATCTTGTTTTACTATCCCCATACTTTTTACGTGAAGCGTGATTGAGCGATTTTTTTTCTCATCGTGAATCATGATTTGAATTTGTTTTTTTCTCGTGAATCGTGATTTGAATTTGTTATTTTTTCGTGAATCGTGATTAAAGATGGTAAGATCTTTTGACGTCCACGTGAACGAATTTTTTCTTTCAAATGTGACCCGGCCATGAATTAAGAGCTGAATTAAACGTGATTCGTAAACCATTTGTTTTGCGTGATGAATTTTTGGTTATTTTATTGCTTTTAAATTGTAAGTATTGTTTTCGAACGACTGCGGTTAGGTGTTGTCAGGAGATGGGAGTCATGTGGATCGATAAAAGTCGCAAAACGTACAGACTACTTGTGGTTCTTGATCAATAGTCCTTTTCACAGTCGTGGGCTTGGTGGCCAGGCCTTTGAACAGGAGTGAGGCTAAGGTTGACCTTGTTATGATAGAGATGTTGCTGCTTTTCAAATGCAAATTTCTTTGTTATCATGCTAACTAGATACAGGTCTCTATCACAACAGGGTCACCCTTAGCCTCACTCCTGTTCAAAGGCTTAGCCACCAAGCCCTCAACTGTAAAAGACTAGAAAAGTAAGATAGTAATTCAACGTGATTTTCTTTAGTTTCGCGTGAACGTGAAAGTGTTTTGGATATTATTCGCGATGCGTGAAAACGCCAAATATTTTTATGCGACTGACTTTTACAAAGGGGTCTAGGGGACTCTCCGTAGCGACCTTCGATAATACAAGTATATTGCAAAAGAACAATCCATATTGTTTCTCTTCTTTTTTAATCTTAATTTTAAACAGGTTATGAAAGATGTTTACCATACGCGTTCAAACTAAATGCAAACGGGTGAATTTTGCCTGAAAAATCGCGATTCTTGCCAACGTTTGATTCCGATTTCGAAATCTCGTCAACGCTTTGTGATAATTCCCAGAGTCTGGGATTTGTTGGGAAAGCCACAGGTCTGGTTTACGTAGAGGCTTAGCACAATTCGTCAATAAAGATAATAAAATAGTTGAGAAGATATGTAAAATATAATGTTAAGGGAACGAGGTGAATAATTTAGAGTGAGCCTTTTTAGAATCTTTATTGCTTTACATCTACCTGATCCGCTATTTTAAAAATGTCCTAGTAACACAACAGTAATACGAGCATTTATCAAATTGAACTGTACACTAAATTTCATTCTATATTCACAGTGCAAAATTGATCGATAAATTGTCATACAAGTTCTTTAGTTAAAATTAGTTAGTGTTTAAGTTTATGAAAAAGCTCAAGTTTCAAATTCCCAAGGTATTTGATTGGAAAGTGAGAACAAGATTGTTACTTATCTCTACGGTATAGGCGGATTCATGCTGACGTCATTGTTTACATTTTTGTTCATTTGCATACGGCTTCGCGTAAAGAAGGAAGCATGTTAGATACAAATTGACTTAGGCAGCTAAAGAGCTAGAAAACCTTAGTACATGGTGAAATTTTTAGCTCTTCGGGTGTAATATTCAAGGAGAAATAGTCCATCAAAAACTGCAAAATTTCTGGGTGGCAAAAGCGCTAATG